GCTGCGGCTCGTGCGGGCGCTGAAGGCGGGCCCAGGGTTTGGGGTTTAGTAGTTTAGGGGTTTAGTAATTTAGGGGTTTAGGGTTTAGGGGTTTAGTAGTTCAGGGGTTTAGGGGTTTAGGGGTTTAGGGTTTAGGGGTTTTGGGGTTTTGGGGTTTAGGGGTTTAGGGTTTAGGGGTTTAGGGGTTTAGGGGCTTAGGCTAATTAGGGTTTAGGGGTTTAGCAATTTAGGGTTTAGGGGTTTAGGGGTTTAGGGGTTTAGGGTTTAGGGTTGAAGTGTGCAGACTACATGCTCGGCCTGGAGCGTCCGAGCTGCGCAGAACCCCGAAACACTTCACATCCCTCGACCCAACAACCCCAAACCCTAAACCCGAAGCCCCAAACCCAAAAACCCAAGCACTACACCCTACCTAAACCCCTACTTAGCCCCGAATTCCCTTTTAAGCTCCTGAAGTTCTGTCAGAGCCCAGAGCTGGGCCCCGCCCCTGCCTTAGGCGCTCCGCGCCATCCGCATGGTGCGCACTTTGCGACTCTTTACAGGGCTTCGGCTCCTTGTGAAGCTGGGCGGAAGACGGAAGTTCTCAAAGGGGGCTAAGCCCTAAGCCCTAAACCCTAAAACCCTAAACCCTAAGCCCTAAACCCACTTAAGGGAGCATCTAACAGAAAGGTCTTGCGAAGGAGGTTTTGAGGTAGAGGTCCAAGCCCAAGGTCTTCACGTTTTTGTCGGGCTCTCAGAGCTGGGAAGCCCTAAACCCTAAACCATCATATCTGTAGGATTCCGAGCAGCAATCATGAGCAAAAACGGGGCCCAGAAATGTCCAAAATCTCAGGGCTCCGAGTTCAGGACCAGCTCACATCCTGGGGTTCTTTTTTTGAGGGTCTTCGAGGGGTTTTTGTGGGGGCTCCCATAGGGCCATAGGGTTTGGTAATTTTTGTAGGCTGTTTAGAGGGGGTTTTGTGGAAGGCTTGGTGCTCTTCAGGGTTGCATGTGAGTTGGAGGTGGTGTTCACCCTAAATTCTGAGCAAGGTTTCATCTGAGTTTGAGGTCGAGGGTTGTTGCTGAAGACCGGGCCAGGAAGCCTCCGTAGTAGTTTGAGGTCGACGCGTTGCTGTTCGCAGGACTCGGGCTATCTTGTATGTGACATATTGCCCTTCGATGTTGCGTGATGATTGTTGGTACCCTTAAACCCTAAAGCCCTAAAACCCTAAAACCTAAAACCCTTAAACCCTAAACCCTAAAACCCTAAAGCCCTAAAGCCCTAAGCCCTAAAACCCTAAAGCCCTAAAACCCTGAAGCCCTAAAACCCTAAAACCCTAAAGTGCTTTTGGTGGCCACCCTTGTTTCTGAAATTGGGGCTCAGAGGTTTAGAGGTGGTGCCGGCTGGATGCAAAAGGCCTTTTCGCCCAGTGACGCAAAAAACTCGTGCCGAGGCTTAGGGTTTAGGGTTTAGGGGTTTAGGGTTTAGGGTTTAAGGTTTAGAGGCCTCAAATCCTCAAGACCCGCAGCCATGCAGCCCACACGGCCCTCTTCGCCCCTTACACTCTGAGCCGATTCAACTACCCTCTTCCAAGCCCGGAGGCTTTCCAAACCTTGAGCTCGAACTCCGGAATCTCGATCCCCACTTCAAGAAGCCAGTAAAAAAGAAAGGGGGGATTCCCTGAGGCCCAAGAACCCCTCCCCCGCCTCCCCGAAAAAAGCAGCTGAAACTTGGATCCAGGGAGCCCACCTAAGAGCCTTCAAAAGGCAGCCTGAAGCTCTTTTCAACCACGGGGTTTAGGGTTTAGGGTTTTGGGTTTAGGGTTTTGGGTTTTGGCTACCTAAGCCAAAGGCCCAGCTGGGCCCCCCAAAATCCCAAGCTGAGCCTCCCCCAATCCTCAAACCTCGAGCCTTTTTCCCTAAACCACAAAAGCCCCCAACCTCAAACCCTAGAACCAAAACCCTAAACCCCCAAACCCCAAAACCCTACACCCTTAACCCTAAACCCCATTGCCTTCCTCCTTAACATCCTTAACTGCCGAAAAGCCCAGGAAGGCCTGCCAATGCTTCCTCCCGTCCCTCGGCTGGTCGATGGTGCTTCTTGGAGCGCCTCTGATTGCATTTCTTTTCGGTTGCGTTGAAGGGCTCCTTTAGAGGGTTTCTCTAAGGGCTTGATAGAGCTGTGGGGGGTTTGAAGGATGCAGAATAAAGGGTTTCGGGTTTTAAGGGTATGTTGAGTGCGATGTGCTGCGAGGGATCTGGCCGGGCGAGCTCAGTTCAAGCCTGTGGAAAAAGGGTATGTTGAGGTTTAACGATCTGGGTATCGCGTCGATGTAGAGTGGTCCTCACCAAGGCAGCAATCGATTTAAGGTAGATTGCTTCAGGAAGGCAGCATCGGGCTCCCAGGTCTGGGGCAGGGTTTAAGATTTAGGGGTGGAGGTCAGTGACTCAAGGTTTGTTGGGTTGGGGTTTGGAGGTGGGGTTTGTGGGTTTTGTGGTTAGTTTCCTAGGTGGATTGGCCGCCGTCGGGATGAAGTGTGCAGGGTGCTAAGTTTATGTTTTTGGGGTGTTGTGGGTTGCTTGTTTTTTTTTCAATCCCGGTTTCTGGAAACCCAGAATTTTTGGTGGGGTTCCGACGGATGAGGAGTTGAACTCAAGCCTCGAGCCTGGGACACATGAACTCCCACAGACTGACCCGCCAAAGCTTGACAGAGCCACGAACCCTAAGCCTGCCTGGAGCGACTGTGCGAGTCGAAACCCCGAACCATACTTACTACCTAAACCCTAAAACCCTAAAGCCCTAAAACCCGGTTCGTACGCATGGGCTCAGGGCTTTAGTATGCTATCGGTTATCGGGCTCTGCATTTCAGTTGTGCTGTAATTGTAATTATACTACAGTGTTTTTGTTTGGGGTCCATGGTCGTGGTGCTTTGAGTTTAGGGGTTCGAGGTTTCAAGCGCCTGCGTCTCGCAGGTCTTTATGTCCATGGGCGCGCTGGTGCTGGGCACCCTGCTGCAGGTTTCAGAAGCAGGGTTTGGGGATTGGGGCCCGTAACCGTTCGATGCGAGTCCTATGAGCGCTTGATAAGTGTCATACAAGGGTTGCATAACTATAAACTATATGGTTCTGTAAGGGTTCCCAGCTCTTTGCCATGTTCCTCCACTTGCTGCTGCCGCAGCGTTTATCGTGAATACGATAAGTGGTGCCTTAGCGAGTATGATCTTTGGATTCGTATGTTGGTTCCTGGTTGCCATGGTGTTGGTGACACCGGTGCTTTTGAGAATGTTCAATCTTCTGACAGTCGTAACGGTTCTTCTCGATACTTTCTGGCCTACGGTGATCATTAGGTCCTTAGGACATTAGCGACCCACTTGCCTCAACCTCAACCTACTTCAACACATCGTTCTTCTTTGCTTTGTTTTTTTCTCTCCAAAATGTGCCGATACCTCTTCGAAAAACCACGAGGTGGGACCTTAGGGGCCAGCCCGAGCATGGATACTTGGCATTTCTATGGGTGTTGCTGCTACTGTCTCGCGGGCATGCTTGTGAAATCGAGCGTCTACATGGGGAATGGCCGGACGCCATATGTGTTTGGGACATGGATCACGGGTCCAGTCTCCACATGTTCCCAGGGCTGTCGCAGCATTTTCATGGAATCGCATGGTTTTTCTCCTGCGGCGATGCTATGTCATATCGCGTCAGCTTCGTGATTGACTGTGACGTTTTGGCTTGTGATGTGACTTTCGCCGAATCGAGCGTCACCATTGAGTAAAGCGGCCGCGATGCGACTTTCGACCGCGGGAGGCGACTTAGGGCCAGCACCCAGTAAGACTGTTGTAACGAAGCTTACTGTTGCAGTTCTTGCTAGATGGCATGCTGGGCCCCACCTTAGACCAACGAAAACCCATTATACTCCCCGGCGCCGGCATTGCCCAACAAGCACGGCTTCCTGCAGTGGAGTACGTAACTTTATGCAGGTTCTGGCAGTACAGCCCGGATGGGCTACTGCACTTAACAAACCTAATTCGACACGTGTAAAGACAGCCTAAACCCTAAACCCTCATCTTTTCGGTCTTCAGGCTGTCTGGTATGCGGAGAGTCGTCTTGATCTACCTTGTGTGTGCTCGTCAGGTAGGAAGTCGGATAGACCTCATGGTCTAATGATCTCATGTGGTGGTTGTTGCCAATGGGCCTATATCTCTGGTGAGGCAACCGGTCTTCCTACCTTGCCTACAGTTGTTGCTGGGTCCTCTCTTTCGGCTTTCAGCCTAACCACTAGGCAGGCTCTACTCCCAGCCGGATTTGCTTTCCAGACCTCTGCGAACGGAAAAGGGGCATCGAAAAAAACGCCTTCAGCTTCAGCCCTTTGGACCGGCGCAGGACTTTATCCTCGATCCGACCCACAGCCTGGATGACAGACAGTGGGCTCCCGGGCGCAAGGGCCAGCGACGGTTCAGGGAGGGATGCCTTTCAGTTCCTTAAGGCTTCTCTAAGGCGTCTACAGGATGAGGAGGGTTCGAGAATGAAGGGGTTCTGTTCGAAACTTCCTGGAGGTTTTTAGGAGTTTCCACCTTTCGAGTTTGCGGGCGTCCCTCAACACCGAAACCCGCGCATCCAGACCTACTCGTGGCACCCGGCACACTTAGGCCCTGACGGGCCCTAGACCATAGACGAGGGTTTCAGCTTACAGTCACTGGACTGCAAAGACCCTCATGCGATTGGCAGCAAGTGCGGCGCACTTCTGACTCACGAAACCTCCCGATAGATGACCTGGAGGCAATGAACCGGCAAAAGCGGAGTGCAAGACCATGCAAGACCGAGTGATAGTCGCACAGCTAAGCCAAGGAGCTGGAAGATTCAATTGCGCATGTTTGCTCTTCCAGCCCCCCAACATCCACAAGTCTGACGTAGTTGGTGTTAGTTCCGCGTGTGACATTAGAGTAATTAGAGTATGCCAGCAATCCCCGTCCCTACTGATACATCCAGCCGCCGAGATTCCACTTTGATCTTGTTCCAAGCTGCAGGTTTGGATGCGCTATGGAACAGCTTATCGGGCGCTGTACACGCTGTACGAAATAACCTTTGCGGGCAGGAGACTTAGTGTTCTTGTGGCTTGAGCGGTGGAAGTTGTTCCAAGATGTCAGCCGGTGCCCTGAGTTTCGAGACCCTACATTATAAACCCTGAACCCTCAGCCCCTAAACCCCGAAACCATGCGGAGCATTGCCTGCTTGTGCGAGTGTGAGAGTCGAAACCCCGAAACCCGACACAAGAGGACCCGCAGAAACCATAGGGGGACCCGGCTCTAAGACACCAACATCGTCGAGCTCTATGCTTGGCCTGCACAGGTAACTGGCCTACGAACGTAAGGCCGGTGCTGGACCGTGCGGGTCATGGCTTCGTGATTTTTTTCGTCGTGTGCCTGGGCGGCATGGCGATGTGCTCCTATGCCACCTGATCATGAATGGTTGAATGCTATTGCGGTTGGTTGTTGCCGTGATTGTAATTACTGGTGTAGCCAGTTGGGCTAGCATGTACGTTGCAGTTGCTCCTGTCGATAATAATGATGACGATGGTGATGATGCTTATGATGATGTTGCTTCCAATAAGTGTTGTGCCACAGGAATCACAAAACTTGCGCTGCTGTGGCTGCTGCCTCTCACCTTCTCTTGCCAGTCCCAGTATACTTGTCCTGTGCTTGTTGCCATGAATGAGCTGGCAGGCCAAGACGTTTTCGTGCTCTGACCATACCACATGGTCATGAACAGACTCATCTCTCTTACCATCGTTGATGTTGTTCGGGTTGTCGCGCCGTTTTGTCTGCAGAATGCTGTTTTGATTTCCTCTTGCTTTCTTCTATCGGCCCAAACCCGCCTCGTCATTGTTATTCATGTGCTGGTAGCGAAATGTTACTGTGCCACTAAGATGTTGACAGAGGCTTGTACCATTGTGAAGACCGTGGCTTGTTCCAGTCGTTTGCGTCTCGGGAGGGCTCTTAGCGGGTAGAGCAGCTGGGAGTGTGGGTCCATGGTCCCGTCACAGGCAGCCACTGCCGCTTGCGTAGTAATGTAGTAAACCCCAAACCCTAAACCGAATTTAGGGTTCACCAACCAGACTCTACTTTCTGGGGGTCCCGTATTATACTTATAGTAGCAGATACCCCAAAACCCTATTCTGACTATTATAAGGACCCTACAGTAGGCTTGAGCTCTGCAGCCGGGGAGGGCTGGGATCCCTGCAGGTACATCACGATCATTGTCTTCGCAGTTATACGCGTGATATCTGCAATTTTCTTGAAGGAGAAGACGGCATGTGCAAGCAAGCCAAAGGTAATCCGAGGATTATCAGGTCTTGCCTGAGTTCGGGAACGCTTAGCTTCTCAAAAGCATTCCGATGTTTTTTTGGCTGGTTAGCTAGCTTCAGTTCAAGTCCGGACCGGTTCATCCACGTTTGCATGATGTCCATCCCTGACACTTCGCACAGCTTCGGTGAACCCCCTAACCCCGCCCGAGATTTCACAAGACTCTCCCACGACTCGCTGGAAGACTGCGACGGTCGGCTAAAGGCCACCGTTCAAAAGCACTCCTGTCTACCGACTCCCGAACCCCAAGCCGTACATTCGACATCCGGACGCAAGAAGGTCCTTCTTCATCCACCGGCTGCGGGAAGTTAAGCCATGTCAGCAGCTTTCAACCATTTTTTAGTGCAGGGATCCAGCTCCCCTTTGACCCAAGTCCGCTGGTGATGAGGCCGCAAGCACAAAAGTCACTTCCAGTTTGCGCAGACATCTTTCCTTTGCAGGACACCTTGGATGCTGCCAATAATGATGCAGAACATCTTGTCGTGGAGCGGCTGCGGAAGAAGGCTGGGGCCCCAGCAACCCTGACGGGTTGACGTTAAAAGAGTGTACAGTCTGCTTCTACTAGTAGCGATAGTCGTCGTAATGGTGGTGGTGGTGCTAGTAGAGGTAGTAGTAGTCGCAGTAGTAGTCGTCATAGTCGCAGTAGTAGAAGTCGTTCTTGGAGTACTTGTAGCAGTGGTAGTACTGCTACTAAAACTACGACGACGACTGCTCCTCCTGGTGCTACTACTGCTACAAGTACTGCTACTGCTACTGCTACTAGAACTAAGACGGGAAATGCTACTGTAGTTGCTTTGCATGTCTTTACTTATTCTATACACTGCTTACTCTTGTTTATACTAGCAGGCTTTGATAACAAGGTTTTGAACAGTGAATTCTGGTAGCCTTCTTCAGTATAGCGGTTATTCCATCAGAGCCTCTTCCTTTATTATGCTGAAGGCGCTCGTACAAGAAGCTTGCAGATCGGTAGAGTGCTCAGAGTTTAGGATTTGGTTCGTCCGTTTTTTTCGTGAAGTGCTTCGGGACGATGCCTGGACATCTGTGTTGGAGCTTTCCCTTCACACACATGGTTTTGTTCAAAATCCGACGCAGACCTGTGGGCCGTCGGTTCAGTGTTGTGTGGCATGTACGCGCCGAAACATCTCATCGCGGCGCAGAAGCCTCGAAGAGAAGAACAACCTGAAACTTCTAGCCTGAAGTGAAAACTCCAAGAGACCGTGCTTGAAGTGAAACTCCAAGAGACGGTGCATTGAACAGGGCAACCTCAAAAACTCGAGGAAGCCTCACAGGAACACAAAGAAAAGCCCGTATCCATGAACAGACATCGTCGGCCTCAGGCGGAGTATGTGGAGAAGCTAGAGCAAGTCTTCCACGCTATGGACGACTCTGGGGATGGCCCCTTGGCGAGCTAGCGAGATGACACCGTTCAGGCCTTTATGTCCGTAGATGCATCTACCTGCATACATGCATAACGTGCATACATACATATACATATACGCATACACACATGTACGTATACCATATGTGTATACCGTTGTATGTCACGTGCATTTAAGCAAATAACTAAGTATGACGTATGCATGCATGCCTGCATTCATGCGTGCAGGTAGGTATGTATGTATGTATGTATGTATGTCATGCATGCATGTCTGCCTTATATGTGCGCGAACACAGCCTATACCTTAAGTTGCAGGCAGGCAGGGGTTCATTGCGTATGGAGGCCGGCAGGCATACCGAGCAAAGCCAGACCTGCAGACGCGCAGGAACATGGACATGTAGATGCATAAGGGCCGACTTGTTGGAATCCGTAATGAACAGTCTGAACCAACGGACAAGTGCAAGGCACATGTATGCATGAACACACACAAAAGAGTAATTACGCCCACACGCACACACCTGCATTTGTATGTGGGTATTCGAGCATATGTCACATGCAGCACATATGCACATGCACATGCGCACCTACAAGAGTAATTAAGAATTCATCTGTATACAGGCACACAATGAGCACAAAGACGTGATCATACTCTTTTAGTTCTAGTTGCCGTTTTGTACACATCTCCGTTCGAGCATGCGGACATCCACACATGTACTGTACCTGCATCTGCGCGCAGCAGCGCCGACTGAGTATACACTCCGCGGACATAGTATGTGCGCGGATGGGTCGGTACGCATGTGAGCACATCTTTCACGGACAGCTGCTGCATCAGCAGTATACACCCACAGGGTTTGTCTGGACCCCAGTTCTTACTAGGATGCTGTAGCCAGGGGCGCAGTTGAGTCTAGTGAAAGCGAGGATCCGTTTCAGTGGCCGTCTCCAGCAGAAACACAACACAAGGCGTCGTTTTTGGACTCTACCAGCACATGTGCAAGAACTGTAAAAGAGGTGTTCAGGCTTCCAAATCTACCGTCATTGAATACTCAGTCGCAATATAGCCTGGGATGTCCCAGAGAGAGAGAGTCGAATACCTAACAAAGTATCCGACTAAGACAGTGTCTATGAGCCTAATTGCGACTCTAAGAGCGGGATGCCAATACAGGCTGCCCAAGCCGCACGACTTGAATGATCACGGCTGTGCCTTCAAATCTTGTCCATGTTGCGATAGAGTCGGAAAGTTTGGGTGCCAAAGCACATCAAAGCACCACCTCGCAAGTCGCCCCGAAATCCTTGTTGGCATGAGCATTCGTATGGTAGAGCAGAGTAGACTAGAGTAGAGCATAAGAGAATTGCAGTAAAGGCGTATGTAGGCGTACAGGCGTCTGGGAGTTTAGGAGTATGCATAGGACCATGGCGAGCACAGGAGTCTTTAAATTCCAGGGGTACAGGAGCATGTGGAGCATACGAGGACAGGGGCATAAGAGCAGAGGAGCAGTGTAAGAGCATGGGGCAGTAGTATATTTGTTGTATGGTGCAGTATAGCTACCCAAATCCAGCTAGATTTTTCAACTGAGCCGAAGATGCGATGCCGGCATGCTTGCTCTTGCACGGAAGCCAGGGCATCCTAAGACCCTAGGCCAAAAAACTTTATCCCCCAAAAGGAAGCATCCCACACGAGGCATGATCACCGAAGAGCGGCTGACGAACATTTTGGCAAACCCAGTTGCCAAGGCTGGTTCGCAGGATGTAAAAAGGTTTCAAGTTGAGAAGGTTTCAGAGCTGGAGACTTATGGATTCAGACTGAAGGTTTAGGGTTTAGGGGTTTAGGGTTTAGGTCCCGCTTTGCGATTTCAAGTTCGTTGCCTAGTGTTTCTGTGGGGGAGTGGGGTCCGGGGCTGCAGGTGTTTGTTTCGAATCTTGAGGCGTTTCAACAGAAGGCTGAAGAGTGAGTATTATGGAGATACTCCTCCTGGTATGACCGCTGTATAGTTTAGATTTTCACCTCTGTTCGGTGTCACTTGCTTCCGCAACGGCTAAATCCTTTTTGGTTGGGAATGGGATGTAGTGATGTAGGGCAATGTAGGGTCTGTTATGTTCTCATGTATGGGAATTGTTTGAACGATCTATGACTTTCGACCGTGCGGTGCGCACCTTGCATGATCTTTCACGTGAGACGGTGTCCGATGTTTGTGATCTTGCGATGCTTGTCGTTCTCACTGGGAGGCAGCATGGACGGGACCGTGGATTCATGCATTTCTCATGTTGGATCCGAGCCTTTTTTGCTCCGATTGTCCCTAAACACTAAATCCTAAACCTTCAGCTGAATGCATGGTGGCACTGTCCGAAACCAGGAAGTTCTAGGACTAAGAACGTGACGGCGGTGAGGCGGCTCGCAGATTCCACGAACTTGGGCTGTAATTGATGACTATGCTATAGTATTCCCCAAACCTCCCGATGCGAATCTTTTGTGTGTGCCAGTCTCCCACACATTTCCCAGCACGTTTTGTTTTGCAAATCCTGGTGACCTAACATGTGGGTGCTCAATTCGTAGTGACCCGAAACCGAAACCCTAAACCGCATCATGAACCCTGAACCCTGAACCCCGTCAGCAGCCCTTGGCCCTAAACTCTGGATTCCTCCAGGCTTACTTCCAAACGCTGGATGTCGACATTTATGAGAGTGCGGCGCTCTTCCATCTGTTTCTAGGCCGTTCCTGAGCATACTTCTCCAGTTTGGTACTTCATGATTTTTTGTCGGATATACATAAGAAAGAGCTGCAACTCTCGATCTTCAAGCACCTCCAACAACCCTCCCAGGTTAGACAACGGAGATGGCGAGGCGGGTGCTGACACCCATTCACAATCACTGCAGCTCCTGAAAAAATTGAAAACATTGCCCCAGAATCAAAGGCCAGCACGGCGAGCTTTCATGACTTACTTGTCTTCGTTTAAAAAATCTCAGTTCTGCAACCTCCGTGAATCCTAAAGACTAGCAGGTCACTTTGGAGGAGTTCATTGAAGGCATCATGCGCTGCAAAGGCCAAGCGCGAGCCATTGATCAGGCGCCCATTCGCACGGGTTTTAGGGTGTAGATTCTAGGGAGTAGAAGATGGCTTAATACAGGGGCCTAGATAATTGCCAATAC